ATGAGCGGATACCGCATCGTCAACAGCTCTTGCGATGCGAATGGTTTCCTGCAACTGTCTACCAGCCCCAAACCTGCGCAACATTCCGACTTCTGGAGCTCTTCCACGTCATTACTCTAACGGGGAAACTTTCGGCACACGAATTCTACAAGTCACTGGAACACTTAACGGATAACCTTGATATCAATATTCCCAAGGTGGATGTTCCCTTTAACCTCATGTTTCGAATGCTGACACCCTTCACCAAGACGCGCTATAGGGCACTGATGAGAATGATCAGAATGTGGTGTCATTTGAAATTCATGAAGCACACAGGTCGGGGGAACTTAGTTAATGGTCTCATTACTACGCAATCTGGTGATCTAGCGGTTGCATGCCCTGCGTGTCCGATGCCTGATGTTAATATACCTGAGGATTGGAAGGACGTGCCGTTGGAACTAAAGTCAGTTTATCCATGCTGTTCCAAGATGTGCTTATCAATGGATAGCAGGTTTCTTTACCTCCTGATCGTGGCATTGGACGCCAACTTTCGTCTGAAGAACTTGATGCGATCAAGTGTTGCAAGGGATCCAGGTTTACATACCAGCCTGGCTTACTTCCCTGACGACGAACCATATCGGAAACACATCTTGAAATATGCATCCCAAAAAGACGTATGTGATTACTTCGTTCTTATCTGTCTACGAGAAGGGCTGAGTGATGTGCAGATAAGCACCTGCAGTGGCTTCAAGACACTGGCTCATGCAGAAACAAAGTTCTCGGGAGGAATGCGCTCGACCGGCATGGGTATGTGCATTTGCGCTCGACATGAATTTGTCCAAGCGAATGGGGTTGGTGACCTCCAGAAAGGTGAAAGGCACATTCTCAGGCTAACCCTGCCTGTCACACGACACTCACGGTTTCTTTCAGGTATTGCAACATGGACTACATCTTGCTTGGTGCGCTTGCACCGATTGCATTACTCAGTGTTTTCGTCTCCTACGACATTGCTTGTCAATTCAAGGTCAAGTTCCACAAGCGGATGGTTGAGTTACCGAAGGATGTCCATATCCCCGACAATGTGTCCATGGATTGGGGCATCCCCAAGTGTCACTGCCCAATGCATAAAGTGCCTTGTCAGGCACCGCACTCGTTGAATCTAAAACCAGGGGTTGGTCGAACGGATGGGGAAGGTATTGAGCAGAGTTGGGCGGAAATGAATCTGGTTGCGAACAGTACGAAAGAGATGGGACCAGGGTCACGCCACGACACCCTCGACGACCACTTCGGA